CAGTGCTGTGTGCCCATCTTTCCAGGGAGGGGTTTAGAAAGCACCTTTGATGGGTGGAGATCTAAGTCAAGTCAAGGACTTGTGGGCAAGAAGAAGAGCCTTCCAGGTGAAGGAACAGCATGTGCAGGGCCTGGGCAAGACTCTGGAGTGGGGGAAGGGAGCAAATCCAGGGGGACTGGGAAGCTGGGCTGAGACTCAGACCACTTTGGGTGGGGTCCACAGCTGCACCACAGTGGACACACCCAAGACTCTGACAGAAAGAATGCAGGCCAGGCAGGTTCAGGGGGTGGGGAGCAGGTCTGTAGTGCACTCGGGTACTCTGAGGGACTCTTCAGGGCATCTGGGAAAATGGAGACTCTGAGGCCATAGGAGATAGCCATCATCACTCATCAGAGAAGCTGGGTTAATGCTCTCAGTCCCAGCCAGGTGTGAGGTGTCCAGTATGGGAAGAGACAAGCACTGTCCTGGGCCACCTTGACTTCCTCTAAACCCTGGACTGTTGCCAAGACTCAGGGCACATCCTGAAATGCTTTCTGCTCACCTGTGTACATGTGCCTGCCTGGGAGTTCCAGATATCCATTGGTCAGGGACAGGTGTGTGTGGAATGGAGTAGAAGGGGAGAGATTGATGATCCAGTACCCACCAGGGGTTCAGGACTGTGCTAGGCACATTGTATACATGATTGCATCTAATCCTGGGACTAGCCCTATGAAAGAGGTGCTTTTGTCCATATTATAAATGTTAGGAAATGGAGGCTCAGAGAAGTGAACAACTTCTCTGGGATCATGCACATAGTAAGTGATGAAACTAAGATGCAAACTCAGCTCAGTGTGGCTCCAAAACTTGTTCTCTCTCCACCACAAGACAAATGTGTTCTCTGAACACATGCTGTGTGCCCAGCATTGAGTTAAGCACTGCAGGTACAAAGACAAGACACAATCTCTTTTGTGCACTGGAATGAGATAATGTGACAGGGAACCGTAGCCAACCCTATTTTCCCAAAATGGCCATGGCAACATTCCTAGACCCATGTGCCCCCTGAGTCTAGCTGGGACTTGTGGCTCCTTGACAAACAGAAGAGACACTGCTGATTTCAGAGACTGATCATAAAAGGAGATACGGCATTCATTGACCTTCTCTCTGTATACACTCATCCTCAGGACTGCACCTTGCTGTGAGAAGGCACACAGAGAGAGGAACGGAAACTCTGTGTCGACAGCCAGCATCAACCTGACAGAAATGGGAGCCACCCTTCATGGGACTTCAGCCCCCAGCCTCCAAGCTGTTCATCAGAGGCCCAGACCTCTGGGACAGACTATCCCACTAACATACAGGCTCTCTCAACATAGTAAGTATGGTGATAATCTGTTACACAGATGGATCAGCGCAGCAGTGGTAGTTCTTGCCTTCCAAGCGGGAGGTCACGGTTCAATTCCCAGCCAATGCACCTCATGAGGACCGCCACCCATCTGTTGGTGGAGGCTTGTGTGTTGCTCTGCTGCTGAAGAGATTTCAGCAGAGCTTCCAGACTAAGATAGACCAGAAAGAACACCTGGCTTCTACCTCTAAAAATCATCCAATAAAAACCCCCTGAATCCCAACAGTGTAACCTGCAACCAATCGTGGAGATGGACCAGCGTTCTGTTCCCTTGTGCTTGGGGTTGCCATGAGTCGGGGACCAACTAGATAGCAGCTCACACAACAAGGACTTTATCAACTTCAGGTGGTATTCAAATGTAAGATGTTATTAATAAACCTGAGTTTGGTATGAGGGGACTGTGTTGGTATCTGAGGAAGTAAACTTATGTCTGAGCCTGAGTTCTTCCCCAAAGCAGAGCCTGGGGCAGGGGGTGCAGAGTCACACATTTGGAAAGTTATCTATGAAATCAGGGGTAGAAAGAAGGGAAGAATGAAGGTGGGAAGGAGGCCTGGCCAACCCAAGGGCGTACTCTTGACTGGTCACTGCAGACCTCTGAGGAGACCTGTAGCATGAGCCTTGGGGTAGGGGGAGGATATGTCCACTGATCCCAGGCCTCCAGTCATCTAGGGGTGAGCAGGGGATGTTAACTCTATTTGCAGACTGGTGAGTGCCCAGAATGGATTGGTGAGCAGTTCCACTTGCAGAGGAGCCCGAGGGAAGAAAGCTGAATCAAGCACTCTGATGGTTGTATATCATCTTGGCTAGGCTATGGCTCCCAGTGGTTTTGTCAAACATTAGACTAGCTGCTGTTCCATAATGTAACTGAATGCAGTGTAATGTAATCACCTGCCATAATGTAACCTAATCACTCAGTTGAAAGGGGGTTGCTCAGGGTACAGGTCTGTCTTCTGACATTTTTGGAATATTTTGGAAGAACTCTGTCTCAGCTCTACACTCTTCCCATTGCCTAACCTCCTACAGGACACAAGCCTGCAGGAGTCTCCAGTCTGTTGCCTGATGTATGGATTTGGGATTTGCCAGCCCGCTAAATCAATCTCTCTCTTGCTGTTGTTGTTAGGTGTCATCGAGTGTGCTCTGACTCATAGCGCCCTTATGTACAACAAAACACTGCCCAGTCCTGTGTCATCCTCATAGTCCTTGCTATACTTGAGCCTATCGTTGCAGCCACTTTTTCGCTGATCCTCCACTTAACAACCATGATATCCTTCTCCAGAGAAAGGTCTCTTCTGACAGCATAACTAAAGTAGGGGAGAGATGTCTGACCATTCTCCCTTCCAAGGAGCATTCCAGCTACACTACTTCCAGGACAGATTTGTTCGTTGTCTATATCTCTATCATGGTTCTGGTTCTCTAGAGAACTCTAAGACAGGCACTGAGAGATTATATGTGTGCTGGGCTGAGGGGCTGTGCAATGGTGCATAAAAGACAACAATCACAACAGTGTTAGACAGTTCTCCAGGCAATGATTACCTGGGTTCCCCTGGTTGTGGGAGGAACTTCTTCCTGGATGGTGAGGGAATCTTCTTGGAGGGTGTGGGTCAGGACACTTGCCATCCATGGGGACTGTGCTCTAGGCCTGGGTCAGTGTCAGGCTCTGCAGAAACATCCCAGGAGGCAGAAAATGCCCTGGCAGTGCTTGTTAGAGGTTGGAGCTGAAAAAACAGTCTTTTGAAGGAAACCAAAGTAGTCTGGAGTCCCTGGTTGGTGCAGTGAACACACTTGGCTGGTAAACAAGAGATTGGAGGTTTGAAGCCAAACATAGGGGCCTCAGAAGAGAGACCCTGAAATCCCTTGTGAAAAATCAACTCTTGAAAACCCCAGAGAGCACCATTCCACTCTGATACACAAGAGATTGTTGTGAGTTGGGGGCAACTTGATGGCAGGCAATTGGTTTCATCTGAAAATAGAGGCTAAGGGACTTCATTCAGACTCCTAGCTTTTCTCCTGAAAGCTAGTGGTGTGGTGGTGAGGAAACCCGCTGGCACAGATTTATGAGGGGATGAGATTTCTGAGTCTGGAGGTCTTCAGGATCCTGGAGGGTTGAGAGACAGGGAGCCGGGCCAGATGAGGTCTGCATGACCCCTGGTCTGGGGACCTGAGTTTCTGGTCAGAATCCTCTGCAGAGGACTTCTATGGTGATTTTTATGGTGACTGGTTAAAGAGCTCCACCCCCTTCTGTGCTTCCATCATCTTCCTTTAGTCTTTCTTCTCCTTCTCTGCTCCTCTCTTCCCTCTTCATCCCAAGGCAGCGCCTGGCCTGGGTGTGCTGGATCCCTCAGCTGGAGGCTTCTGGTGCAGTTCAGTCCCTCAGGTTAGCCCAGGTTGGGGGATTCCCTGGGATGCAGGACTTTCAATGCTCAAATTGGAAAAGTCCTAGGCAAACCAGGATGGCTGGTCACCCCAGGTGAGTGTCTGTGCTGGGGGCTCAGGCTTGATGCCCCTTCTCTGTGTGTTCATGATGTTGTGTGCACGTTCTAACACTGCACCCCATGGGGTTGTAACTGTCTATGTGAACATCCCCCTAGAGCATGAGTTTCCTAAGGAGACGGCCAGGTCTAACTTATGGCTGTACCCCAGCACCTGGTATAGTACCTGACATAGGTGTAGTGTGTACTTGTTGACGGGATGAACTGTGTACCAGCTTTGGCTTGGCCTTGTGGAACCTGGTCCAGCCCCCCGCACAAACACACATGTGCACAGACACACAGAGCTCTCTCAGACTGTTCTATGGCCCAGATCAGGATCTGCAGTGTCCTCCAAGGAGAGAGGAGGAAGGGGAGGGGGAGGAAGATGGTGCTAACCCTCAGCTGGGTTCCCCGTAGTGGCTCAACAAGTGATGCTCCAAGCTGGATTAGCTGAGCAGAAAGTGAGCACCTTCCGTGGCAGGCTTGAGCCCAGCCTTCACCTGAGGTGTCCCCAGCAAGGAGGAAGGAGGCACCCGTACTGCTCTAGAGGCGTCCCATTGCCTAAGAACTGCCCCAGTGAGCAGGGAGGTGGGCAGGTGTCACCACAGGCCAGCCCTGCCCCACTCTGTCCTTCCAAGAACCAGGGAGATAGAGGAAATGGAAGGCAACTCATAAAGGAAGAGTATGAAAGTGGAGGTGCACGTTAACAGCAATAATGTAAATTTCTAATTAGAGAAGTTATACTGGCTCATTGGATAAAATCTGAAAAGCATAAATAGATAATCTTGAGAGTTTTACTTTTGTTCTTATAAAGTAAACATAGTCACAGTAGAAAATCTGGAAAATATAGAAACATATAAAGAAATAAAAGTCACTCATTATTTCACCACACAGACAGCCACGTTGACATTTGGGAGGCCTCCCCTTCTGGCCAGAAAAGGGTTATTATTACCTCTCTGGCTGGTGTGTGGGCTGGTTACCAGGTGGATAGAAAACCTGACTATGACAATAAAAACCCGTCCCGGTTACAGGTGAAACATCTCTTTTATTCAGATCTTGGCAATTCAGAGGCTTCAGGAAGCAGATTTTGCAGACTTAACACCTGGATGTCCCCATGCCCCACCCTCCAAAGACCCTGATCCTGCAGAAGGACATCAGAACTCGTCCTTTATGTCAAAATGGGGCTGGTCTTCGGGCTTGAAGTCCAGGTTGGGGCTGCCGTCCTCGTTAAGGATCCTGCGGGCTGTGTAGCCGATGATGGGATATTTAGCCTTGTACACTCTGGTGAAGATGTCATTCAGGGACTCCAGTTCCTTGGTCATGAGCCCCATCTAGAGGAGGAAAGCCCCAGAAATACTGGGTGGGGGGTGAGTGACCCATGTTTGGCCCTGGCTTCCCTCCATCCCTGCCTTGCCCTCCCCGCATCCTGAATGCAAGAGCAAGAAAATATCTCAGCAAAGGAAATAATGGACAACTGACTTTGTAAGAGGCGGCCCTGAATTGGGAGGGGCGGGGGAGCAATGGCGTCATCATCTGCTGCTGTCCAACTGACGTAGGTCATAAGACTCTCAGTCAACACCCATGGGGGTGCTCTGCTGCAGCCTGTGGCTGAATAAGAGAGGCACAGTAGGATTTCTATGTTCAGAATATGGTTGGCCACCCCACTGAGTGGACTGGAGTAGAAACAGGCTAGTTAGGAAGCTTTGCCATTGCCAGAGGTAAAGAAGGCCATGACTGAGGGTTGGGACATATTGAAAATGACTTGTACTCTGGCTCACAATGTCATGGGTGAGGTCTGCAAGATCCAGGGACATCTTGGCCACCCCTCTGGTGGAGTCTTTCCCAGTCAAGGCATTGTAGGGGGCTTCTCTTCCATAAAACTCTGTATGAGGAGGGAGGGAGAGGAAGTGAGTGTGGACCTGCATGTGGAACAGCCAGAAGACTGCAAACTGGGAGGACAGGGACCTGCCAAGACCCAAAAAACCCTCAAAAAGACTTCAGGCACAAGGGGCAGGAAAGCAGTGAGGGCAAAAAGTACACTAACTCACCTCCATCCGTTAGTTTGGATTCCACTAATTCAGGAGCCTGGTAGCATAATGCCCAAGGCACTTGACTGCTAACCAGAAGGCTGAAGGTTCAAACCCACCAGCCACTCCTCAGAAGGAAGGTTGGGCAATCTACTTCCGTAGTGTTACCACCTTGGAAACCCAAGGAGGGGTCGCTATGAGTTGGGACCGACTTGAGGACACATAACAACAACAATTCAGAATATGGACTAATTCACACAAGCTGGGCTGAGAGCTGAGTTTTAGAAAATAACAGGATGAAAATTGTCTCTTAGAACTATTAAGAATGCATGGGTGGATGCACCCGTGAAACCAATGACCTGAGATAATCTTTAAACTTCAAACCAAAAATATACCCTGAAGACTTCTTTTTTTTTTTTT